TGGCGCTCATCTACGTTACACTGCCTCTTTTGCGCCTCGCATTCCTTTCGAAGCTCTTCCGGCAGCAGATGATCAGGCTGTCGGTGAGCAATGTTCGTGTGCTTCCTTTGAGAGTATTGCTGATGGACCCCATTATTGTCGTCGCGGCCATCCTGTTGTTCATCTTGTGAAAGTGCTTTCTGTCCATGCAGCCAATCGTGAAGTCGGGCCTGACGGAATGACTGACGCATCAGGTCCAGTTTATGGACATTGAGCTCGCGAAGCGTCAACCTGTCCCCAGACAGTGAGTGCGAGTCACCCATGTTCGCCTGCTTAGCCTCCAGCTCGTCATACGATTCCGACCGCTTCCCTTTCGTCCCGACGCGCCGTTCTCGCTCGAGTTCCTCTGCCCCCAGCCGCAAGGACATCATCTCGTGTTCTTGTGTTTCGTTAGGGCTTTCTCTTGTGATAAGCTCTTCCTTCAGCGGAGGGAGACAATCCTGGGCCGGGTCTGATGCCTGAGGACCGCGAGGACGCTGTCTGATGCGAAATGCTCCAGGCATCTCGTCGGACGATGATGAAAGAGGAGAAGGAAGTTCCTTTTCGTTAGGGCTTTCTCTTGTGATAAGCTCTGTCTTCAGCGGAGGGAGACAATCCTGGTCGGGTCTGATGCCTGAGGACCGCGAGGACGCTGTCTGACGCGAAATGCTCCAGGCATCTCGTCGGATGATGATGAAAGAGGAGAAGGAAGTTCCTGTTCGTTAGGACTTTCTCTTGTGATAAGCTCTTCCTTCAGCGGAGGGAGACAATCCTTGGCCGGGTCTGATGCCTGAGGACCGCGAGGACGCTGTCTGATGCGAAATGCTCCAGGCATCTCGTCGGATGATGATGAAAGAGGAGAAGGAGGTTCCTTTTCGGGAGTACAGTTGGCGTCATTGTTGGCTGCCGCCTTCGAGGTCTTCAGGGTTTTTCTCAGCCCTTGGATCTCGCCAGATGAAGAAGCTGGCTTCCTGCCTTCCTTTCGAAGTCTTTCCAGTTCCCTCTTTTGAGACAGAAGTACACTGTACATCTCGATATCGGCGGCGAGTCGAACAACCGGGGGATCGGGATCAACGAATATCTGATACTGAAAGATATCAAAATACTCGGTTGATTGCCATTCCCCGTCGTCCAAGCTGAGGTCCACATGAAAGAGCTCGGAAAGGTAAGAAGCCGCAGCTTCAGGTTTGGTGAATAGGAGTAAGCCAGCACCATCAGGGTGATCATGCGGACGAGGATGAGAGTCGAAGATGGCGTAGACACTGCCTCGTTTGTTGAAAATTTTGGCACACGCTACAATTTCGGGGATACGGGTGATAATGGCGACCGCAGGCTTCTCACCCGGGGCATAAACCTCCAGCTTCCTGCAAAAATGTCAAAAACTTGTGGCGACTGATATGAATAACATACTGGATCGTCTCTAGGAAGTCACCTCCATTGACGAGACCCTGTCCCAGTTCAACAGTTTCCATAGCTTTCCGGAAGCTAGTCATTGTGACGATGTCCTCAACTTCAAGATGGGCATCACACCCTGCTGTGATCCATAGACGGCAGATGGACATGATATCCTTCAAAAATCGTCAGGACATGTATATATCAAGAGTCAACAGAATTAGTCAATACCTGTATCATGTCGAGAGAAGTGATCCGCTTTAAAACATCGTCGGGGTCCTTAGCGGACCTCGCGAGTTTGATGACGGTCCTGGCAAAATTGGCGGCGGCCATGCCGCAGGATGATACGGCGCCAGTCGCGTATTGGCTCGTTCCAGGATAGCTGATAGTTAACTGGGAAGTCTTGAAAAGGTTATCGACATCATCATCCGTTTGTATACCACGGGGTTGAAGCATGATGCGCGTTGGGCTTGGGGAAAAATGAGAGAATGTTGAGAATGGTTACACGTATCTCACTTAAATGCGAGGACTCGTTACGATGCCCAACAATCCGGCAGAGGAGGTTAACAATAACATTCTCATCGAGACAAAAGAGTCGAATTCCGCTGATCGGTGAGGGTTGGAGTTGGAGTTGGGTTGGAGGAAGAACAAAAGCGTGAGAAAAATGACAACAATTACCAAATAGTTCGAACCACGAAACACCTCTGGACTGTAATAAACAGTAGGCCTGACGACCACGGACAATACGGATAAGCGCACTCTGGTCAACGCTTTACTCACCCTAAGGCGTGTCCTAGACGGACAATAAAACGAACGGCAGGCTCCCCGGGCCGCCACTATCAGAATAACTACATGTATGCTTTTCTTATAGCCACAATTGGAAGAATGATTGCCTACAGGCCAAAACTTGAAGAGCGTGCTCTGATTACAACTTCAATTTCATGTTCCTTTCGACCTTACAGTCCGACCGTTTTCGCCTTCACCTTGTTGCGCATCACCATTCAAAACTTCATGTTTCCAATCACCTCCGTTCAACGACTGATCAACAGGACCGGTCGCATTTATCCTTGCAATATGGATCTTGCTGTCGAAACTCTTACGCCCGACTTCTAACCGACCGTCAGAACTTCGAAACGGACAATGGGTCAAGAACATACCGTCGCCTGTAAATGAGCCTTTGAATACGCTCTTAAAGTTAGCGGACATGAGGGTGAGAGCGTGGTGTCTCGGAAATGACGTGAAGTTTGAGCGTCATTCAGGCCAGATTCTTCGAGTCCCACAGTTAGAAACAGCTCGAGGGCCGTCGCGGACGCTCGTCAGTGGGAAGACCTCGAATCGGATGAAGATTTTGCTTGAGGCGCCGTAATTCGGTTAAAACTTCTTTACACGATGGCCAGGCTCCTTAATTCTTTTCGACTTCCAAAGATCCCCCGAACAGATACAACGTAGTCGCGGAAGGCGCTACCTAGGAAAGCAATCGCACAGCGTTTCGGTGGGGCGCTCTGGTCTTTTAAATGTACAATATCACCTTGCAGACAGCGACGCTATGGTTGCAACAGAGGTTGGCGAAATGACGCTTATCTCTGGCGGGTGAATTAATAGAATGTCCAGGCCAGACCATGGAACCTGTTTCAGCCACCTCCCAACTGAAGTTTTTCTAAAGCTCTTTGAACTTTTGTGATCGCAATAACCAAATTTTTTGGGAGGAAATTGGAGACGGTGACACTGTTGCAAGAGCAAGGATTGTAAGAGAAGTGTCATTGTCAAAGCAAAACACTTATTGCGATCTGAAGCCTCGCCTAACATACTATACCATTACGATCAAATCTTCACCTCGTGTTAAGCGTTGTAAACTCCGAACCGTTTCGTTCTGATTCTCGATACAAGTGCTGAGAACAGAAATACAACGTCTAGGCAGAATACTCCAACTTGGCTGCAAGAAAGTCAGAATTGATTTTAATGATTACGGAAAGACTCACTCTCATGCTTCTTCGCATCGCTCACTTTCCGCGCAGCCTTGGTCAGATCTTCTTGATTTATGTATTCACTGCACGCCAATTGAGTTATGATTTTAGCTACAACAGAAGGGCTTACCGATCATCTCGAATTGCGAACATGCCTGCCTCCGTCACGACGTTACGCAGGTCAGCACCGTTGAATCCGTCGGAGAGCTATGCAGCGTCATGAGAGTCAATATCATGAATTGAAGAGTAAACAGACCTTGACTATGGCCTCGTAGTCGATTTCGCCATCCTTGTTGACCGGTGCAGCATGAATCTTGAGAATCTCTAACCGTGCTTGCTCATTTGGAAGAGGAACTTCAACTTTACGATCAAGACGCCCTGGTCGAAGTAGAGCGGGATCAAGTGTATCCGGTCGATTGGTTGCCATTATCAACTTTGTACGACCTAACGAGTCGAAACCGTCCATCTGGTTGAGAAGCTATTAGGAATATCAGATATCGAGAAGGGTTGATGATTGAATACAGCAGACCTCCATAAGAGTGCGCTGGATTTCACGATCAGCACTGGTTCCTTCGGAGAAACGACGGCCACCGATGGCGTCAATTTCGTCCATAAAGATAACGCAAGGTTCGTGGTCTTTAGCATAGCCAAACATTTCACGAACGACACGAGCGCTTTCTCCAATGTATTTGTCTACGATGGCCGAAGAAACGACTTTGAGGAAGTTGGTTTGCAACGTTGCGGCAACAGCTCGTGCCAAGAGCGTCTTGCCTGTACCGGGAGGGCCGTAAAGCAGGACACCTTTCGGGGGGTAATTCCAACACGGAGGAATAGCTCGGGATTGAGAAGGGGAAGTTCTATGATCTGTTAATGATGATCAGGAGCGGCTTTGCAGTTGAAGTAATGGATGTACTTCACGCAGCTCCCGTACTTGTTCACCAAGACCGCCAATGCCAGCAAATGACGCCCCTCCCGGATCCTCCAGACTCATCTTGTACACCAAAGGATCCACCTCGCGTGGGAGAATGCGCATTATGGTCAGCGTGGTCATGTCGAGCGAAACACGCGTTCCGTTTTTCAGCTTGGCCGCTGGTAATGTTGGGCGATATGACACGACATATCGAGGACCTGACGACGCCTTGACAATGACTGGGGGATGTTAGAAGACAAAGTTGCAAGAGGGAGCCTCTTGACGCACATCGGTCGTCGTCCAACTGCTTCATAACCTCGCCGATGATCTGGCCAACGGATTGCACGGCCTTGATGTCCTCCTCCGTCTTCTCGTAGTCCTTTGCCAAGTCTTTCAAGGAGAACCGCACTGACGATTGTCAGCACGACGGCGACACCCACGAGCAGGTTACTCACAGTTCTTAAGGCTCAGTCCACTGCTTTCGTGATTCCGCATTTTCTAGGAAATCGTGAGGAAGGGTGTATAATAAACGATGAACAAAGTACCTCTCTGTAGCTCTTGAGTGCATCCTGTCGCCGTTGGTCCATTGCGCCTGATGATGTTGAGGCGTCCATAGCGGATGGTGGTGTGGGTGAGAGGTGCGACGCGTAGAGGATGACGCGTCCTACAAAGGTGTGAGTGAAGCAAGATCATAGTCAGGGTCTGTCAACGTTCATGGCCTGATGGTCTAGTAGTATGATTCCTTGTTAGGGTTCGCCGTTTCGAGGAGGTCCCGGGTTCAATTCCCGGTCAGGCCCATTGGCTTTTTTTGGACTGCGCGCCCTAAGTGTGGCGTAGGGTGGTGCAGTAAACCTCCGGGGGGTGTTAGTAACGGTATTGATACCGACCCCCCGGGAGGCCATAGTTTTGAAACCGTTTCTAACGGTTTCGATACTGCCACGTGATGTGGCGCAGCGGTGCGCCGCCCTCATCCCGCCCTTGTCCCGCCACTCTCAGCTTCTCTGAATGCCAGCGCGCCGTCACGTGTAGCGATCACGTGCCGGTATCGAAACCTACCTCCCACCCCGACATAGTCTCTCCTAGCCAGCCAACGATACACATGACGGCAAGCGAGTATGTGTATGTACCCCCGACAGTTTCAATACCGTATCAATACCGTTAATAACCGCAGTAAACCCGAGGTGTATCAAAACCTAGGGTTTACTGCACCACCCTAGTGTGGCGCCAGGCGTAGCCTGGGCCCTAGGGTGGCGCAGTAAACCTCCGGGGGGTGTTAGTAACGGTATTGATACCGACCCCCCACGAGGTCGTGGTTTTGAAACGTTAGTAACGGTTTCGATACCGGCACGTGCTTTTACCACGTGACGTGGCGCACCGCTCCGCCGCCCTCCGCCCGCCCTTATCCCGCCACTTTCTGCTTGCCTGAGTGCCAGCGCGCCATCACGTGAATTTGTCACGTGTCGGTATCGAAACTGTACTGATACCTCGGCCGAGGTTTCGATACCGTATCAATACCGTTACTAACCGCAGTAAACCCGAGGTGTATCAAAACCTAGGGTTTACTTCACCACCCTAGCCCGGCCCTGGCGTTACGCGTACGCCGTAGACAGCGCTTAGCGCCGTATTATATAGCCTCGTTACGACGTACGTCGTAGGTACTTACTACTAGGGCTAGCTGCTAAGGGCCTAGGCCGCAGTGAGGCACCTGGCACCTGGCAAGTTAGGAATAATCTATTTGGGAACCCCGGTTCATCACGTTTGTGACACGAACCCTCATTGATTATGTGGCGTAAATGAGCATTTTTCACACAAAATTGAGTGTCTCAGTGTAAGAAACCATCTCTGATAAGCCACTAGACACTGGAACATATGAGAACACGATCAATTAAACTACGCCACACATTTAACTAACTAACTGAGCCGCCACGGATGATGAGTCCACACTCTAGGGTGTACTACTACAGCTGCCTACTGCATACATAGTTCTTGGCTGATGTATGACACTGGGGATGCGGAACACCTCAACCAGGCCAAACTTTTGGAGTCTTGACATGGGTGTTGCCTTGGTCACTGTGAGCTACTATACTATTTCGACCTTGTCTTCGCATAATGCATAATGGAGGCCTGTGAAATGAAGAGTTGAGGGTACCATAATGCATAACGGCCAAAATTGGGCCCCAGGTAAGGCCCAAAAAGGAATTTTTTTAGCGCGGCGGCAATAGCCGCCGCTCCCGCCTGCCCAAATAAGGAAATTGGACCCTGAATGAAGAGTAACATCTATGAAGAGCATGCATAACGGATAACGCCCCATGAAGACAAGGTCGAAATAGTACAGTACTTTAGGTTCAAGGGGGGGGGAGAAACAGGGAATCATAGAGATTGATTGAGAGTATGAGAGCAGAATCACATCATCTACAAGTGTGTCGGGACAGATACTTGAACTGTAGGGCCTGAAAGTCATCGAGAACACTGAAAGCGGACCATCGGGCCGGGAGGGTTCGTGTCACAAACGTGACGAACCGGGGTTCCCAAATAGATTATTCCGGCAAGTTCAATTGTTCAAAGTTACATTGGGTTACTGGGTAGGGTGGCACAGTAAACCGGTCATGGTTAGTAGCCAGCTACCTGCCCACCGAGGCGCGGTTTCGATACGGTTTTAACCCAGTTCCAACTTCTTACCGTTGCTTACCGGTACGCCTCCACACAGTGTGTACTTTCGGCCAAGTGTTCAATACCATATCAATAGGTACCATTTCAAACTGAAGTAAACCTGAGGTGTATCGAAACCTAGGTTGTAATGCACCACACTAGTTTTGACAATTGAAACTGCAGTGAATTACGAGTTACGAGTAAAGACGGCGGACGCGTCGCGACTCGCTGAAGGTTCAACGCACCTGTGCAGTGAATGTCTGGGGTCTTCTAAACCAGTTTCTTACAGGGGATTTGAAGATGTTTTTTGCCGTCATTTGCGGGATGTGATTGTGCCTCAAGCGTCGCGGGCCTCGCCCAAGCCGCTAGTTTTGTTTTCACTATGCACTGAACATGCAGTACAGGCCTGTTGTGCTTCTGACAGGCTCCTGCAGACCACTGGCAGATATTGACGCCTACTCTCTGTTTATCTCAGCCCCACAACAGACACGCCGCCCGGGCTGACATCGATATCACTAATATTCACTGCGTGATGTTCGCCTGTTCAGCACCTCGCCTGGTCATTCATTTCAATTTCTACGCCTTTTGACTTCATGTCCTCGGAAACTTGTAGTCTCCCATAGGCAGACTCAACAAGTTTCAGTGAAACGATTACAAATTCCAAAGAGAAAGTCCATTATATGCAAGGGTATGTAGTCAGAGTACGCCAGAACAGTCCCACCAAACGAATCATCAGAATCGGAATAAACCTTTCTTCTTCTTCTTATCCTCCTTCATCGAAGGCGTGTATGAGTTAGTCGAGGCATATGACTCTGTCGGTGACGGCTGCGGTCGACCTCGTTCCTTCTTCGGCACCGCCAGACTAGGATTTGGGCGAGGCTGTGGACGTGGTCCATCTTTTGTGAAATACTTCTCGTCATAGAATTGCTGATATGGACGTGGCCCCTTGAATTCCGGAAGGCCGTTGGGCATTACTCGTGAGCCGACACCGGCCAACTCCAATGACTTCATGTCGTCGATGAACTGACGAGGGGTAATCGTGTGTGTAGAACCTGGCATCGGTAAGTATACCATACTGCCGGAAGGTGGCGACGAGGCACGAACCGATGTAGATATCCTTGTTCAAGGAAGTGGAAAGATTGTACACCTCTCGCATTTCAGAGTACGTCATTCCTCCAGCGACGAAAACAAAGATTCGTTGTTTGCTGGATTCAGTTGCGGCTCCAGGACGTGCTGGCCGATGCCATGAAGGTTTTGCACTCCGTAGAGAAGTTGTTGGCGTGACTGTTGTTCGCAGGGTGGGAGGCGGCACCGCGGATGGAGAGTCCTTGACGTAGGGAAAGAGGGCAGGATCTAGCTTGTTTTCAACATGCTCCTGGAAAGAAGGTCAGTCCAAGATAGTTTCGTCTGGCTTGAACAGACCTGGATGACTGTCTTGAGCAATGGTTGGTAACGCGACAATTCATATTCATCATCGTTCGGTTTCTGTTTGAGCTTCTTCTTGACGTCTTTATCGCTTGGACCCTATTGCTCTTTAGTATGTCATGTGCGGTGAATGATGTTACGAACGAACTCTGGATATCCGGACACCAAGATAGAGTAAAGCATTAACAGCATCCTGTTCAGGTATTGAAAGTCGGGCATGTTGATACAGACGCCGCCGGTCTTCGTCGGGAACGCCTTCTCGATGTTGGATGTATAAAGCTACGATACGAACTTTATTTGCGTTTCTGTGTCATGGCAGGCAGACTTAGTAAGGTAAAGGAAAAGGGACGATGTACTTACATGACTTCACGACTGTCAAGAAGCGGTACCATTTCCTCGACTAGCTTCTTCGGCGTTTTACCTTCAGCAGTCAAGCCAGTGGCACAGTTCTGCGGCGACAGATTGATTTCATGAAGACAACAGGACAAAAGGCATACGTACCTGTTCAACGGTGGCAACGAGCGGCAGCTTATCCCTCTCAAATATTCCCATACATTCCTGAGCCATGTTTAAGTGTAAAGAGAACTAGAGAAAGTCGTCAATATCGACAAGAAGGGAGCCTAGCTATGTGACCTTTTCCCGCTGCTCTTGATACTGCGGTAGACCAGCAAGCATCTCTTTCATATCATTCAGATTGGCAGCACCGTCTCTGCAACGAATTGAGTACACCTTAAAGTCACTTTTCATGAATACGCACCCTTTGAAAACCGCGTTGTCCTCCAAGAATTTGTTGAAGTCCGCCATGAGCTTGTCGATAGCTTCTCGCATGTGCATATGTCTGACGGCGGTCCATACGTTATCTTGATCAGAAAGCGTCGCCGTCTTGTCTTCATACGCTCCGACTGACGATTGAAACTTATAACTAGGCGCAAATTAGCGATGATTGAAGAGCCTAGGAAATGAACCCACGTGTAAGATTTACCGTCCTCGATAGGAAGAAGATCGTTCGCCATTGCCTGATACGTGAACTCGTGTAATAACGGAGCCATGGTGTCCATTGCGCGATCCGTGATTATAAGCGTTGATCGACCCCGTGCTGGATCGACTTTGGCAAAGTCGGGCGTTTGTTTCTTGTACTCCTCTAGGTTACCCTGCACCATGAACGCAAGAAGTTTGGTAATATAGTCTGATTCTACAGATTCATATGCCCGAGCCTCGGCGCCCCGAGCCAAATTGGTTCGCCATCTGCCACTGCCTTCCGCAGGAGGTGGCGGACGGGTGGAAGCGTGTGGTTTGAGAGGGCCAAGAGGAGGGTGATTGGGGGGTACGTAGTAGCGGATGAACGGGAACTCGTTGAGAGTTATGCAAATATTAGAAATCTAAGAGCGAGTCGATGTCACAAGCCAAGTTGAACCGTTTATGGTACTCACAAGTTTACTGGTAAAGCGGAGACTTTCGTCTAGCCGGTCGCGCGCCATTCGATATTCATTTTCGCTGCGTGGCGGACTGTAGATGCTGAAGAACATTTCGGGGGATTGAGTCGAGAAAGTTTGAGCCTCGAGGGCTGTGGAGAATGATTAGCTTTGTACACCATTGTGAGACGATTATGGCGGACCTGCAAAGTTGACATATAAATCCTTGAGTGCCTTGAGATAAGGTTCGGCAGGAGATTGTGTGAGGCGCTCAAAGAGAGGTTCCGGCAGACCTTTAGACAAGATGAATG